TTTCACTTTTTTGCTAACCCTCCATTTTACCAAGCACGATATCCTTCTCCAGGGAATGGTCCCTTCTGACACGACCAAAGTAGTTGAGATGAAGCTTAGCCATACTTGCTTCCAAGGAACATTCTGGCTGCACTTCCTCCAGGACAGATTTGTTCATTCTTCTGGCAGTCCATGATGCTCTCAGTATTCTTTGCCAACACCACAACTTAAAAGTACTAACTCTTCTTCATTCTTCCTTATTCATTGTCCAGCTTTCACATGCATATGAGGCAATTGAAAAATACCATGACTTGTGTTAGGCACACCTTAGTCTTCAAAGAGACATCTTTAAAGAGATCTTTTACAGCAGTGCTCAGTGCAAAATGACATCTGATTTCTTGACTGCTGCTTCCATTGGTGTTGATTGTGGATCCAAGTAATATGAAATCTTTCACAAATTCCATCTTTTCTCCATTTATTGTGATGCTGCTTATTGGCCCAGTTGTGAGGATTTTCATTTTACATTGAGATGTAATTCATACAGCAGGTCGTAGTCTTTTTTTTTTTTTCTTTCAATTTTTATTGTGATTTGGGTGAAAGTTTACAGAGCAAATTCACTTTCCATACAGAAGCTCACATAGACTTTGTCTCATGACATTGACTGCAATTTCTCACAATGCAGCAGCTTCCTTCCACTTCTTCCCTATTCTTCCATGATTGATCTCTCCAAGGAGTGTATCTACCTAATGTAAATGTTCAGTTCCTATGCCTGTCTTTTGTTTTGCTGGAAGCCACAGGACTGGGTTCAATTCCAGACCTGAAGGGCAGCTAGGGGCCATAGTCTCAGGGGTTCCATCAGGCTCTATCAGGCCAGCAAACCTGGTCTTTTTTTTTTTTTAAATGATTTCGAGTTTTGTTCCACATTGTTTTCCCATTCTATCCAGAATCTCCTACATAAATTCCCCTCTGAGTGGTTGACAGTGTAGGTGAGCATCATCTAGCTCTTCTGGTGTCATAGTCATATACATTGAGGATCACATGGTGTACCAGTCACTTGGACTAATTTTTTTCATGTGTCTTTTATGTTTTTTTCATTCTTTTTTGCTCTGGGTGAGGAGAGACCCATCATTGCATGGACTCCTGCAAGCTTTTAGTTTCCCAGTTGCTGCTTGCCAAAGTAGGATGTGGAACAGTGTTTTTGTGTAGTGTGTTATGCCAATTGAGCTTGATGTTCCCTGTGACTAAGGTCCCGAGCCCGTAGGTCCAACTACTCGCTCCCTCTGGGTAGCTGACTGTGGCCAAGAAGTGACTACAACTTTGTCCCTTGTCAGCTCTACTGTATACCTGGGAATTCTTATAGAACATACCAATGCACTTGTAGAAATATTGTCTGCCAGCCCTATACATGGTCTTGGGCCATATTCCCCCCTATATACACATACCTAATAGTTCAGCTTGTCCACCCATTTATCCACCCATATATCAATGTTTGCCTTCACTGACAATGCAGTACTGTATGTGCAAAAGGGTTCATCTTTGTTGTCTGTACCTCCCATGCTCTTCTCTATGTCATCTTCTTCCTTCTGCTACCATGTTGATCACTCACATTTGGTACATTGCCCTTCTCTTCATCCAAATCAATGCTTGTCTCTACCTAACAGTGTTCCCTCCCCTCCTCTCCCATCCCTGGTAACCAACAAAGAAAATTTCCTTCCATATATAAACCTTTCCTTAACTTTTTACAATAACGGACTAATACAATATTTGTCCTTTTGTGATTGACTTATTTCACTCAGCATAATGTCCTCCAAGTTAATCCATGTTATGCGGTGTTTTGCAGGTTCTGAGTTATTCTTTAGGGTTGCATAGTATTCCATTGTGTGTATGTATCATAGTTTGGTTATCTGTTCTTCTGTTGATGGGCACCTAGGTTGTTTTCATCTTTTTGCTATTGTAAGTAGTGCTGCAATTAACATGGGTATGCGTGTATCTGTTCTTGTCCTGACTCTGGCTTCTTTAAGGTATACACCTAGTAATGGAATGCAGCAGTCTTTAATCTTCATCAGTAAGTGCTTCACATTATCTTCACTTTCAGCAAGCAAGGTCGTGTCATCTGCATATTGCTGGTTGTTAATGAGTCTTCCTCCAGTCCTCATGCTGTGTGCTTCTTCATATAGTCCAGCTTCTTGGATTATTTGCTCAGTATACAAATTGAATAAGTATGGTGAAAGGATACAACCCTGACACACTCCCTTCTTGATTTTAAACCATGAAATGTCCCCTTGTTCTGTTCAAATGACAGCTTCCTGGTCTATGTGGAGGTTTCTCATGAGCACAATTAAGTGTTCTGGAATTTCCATCTTCTCAATGTTATCCATAATTTGTTATGATCACAGAGTTGAATGCTTTTGCACAGTCGATAGAACACAAGTAAACATCCTTCTGGTATTCTTTGCTTTCAGTGAAGATCCATCTGACACCTTATAGGTCTGTGTATTGTTTGGCTGCAAGTTGAGTCAACAGGGTTAAGTTCAGGTCCTAGCTTGAAGGGTGTCTAAGGGCCATAGTCTTGGGTGTTGCATTAGTCTTCACCAGACCAGTAAGCCAATGTGAGTTTTGTTCCACATTTTCCCTGGTCTGTCCAGGACCTTTATGGTGATCCCTTCCAGAGCAGTCAGCAGTAGGAGTTGGTTCTTCTGGTCACAGGGCCATGGAGACTGGGGTTCATGTTCTCCGTGAGTCCACGGGACTAATTGTCTCCTGACTCTTTGATTTTCTTCACTCTTCTTTGCTCGAGACGGAGGGAGACCAATAAAGGCACTTTAGATGGCCACTCACAAGTTTTTAAGACCCCAGTCACTACTCACCAAAGTGGAATGTAGAGCATTGTCTTTGTGGACTATGTTATGCCAACTGACTTGACTGTCCCCTGAGACTATTGTCCTGAGCCTCCATACCCAGTGACTTATCTCCTCAAAGTGTTTGATTCTTACTAAGATGCTCTCATAACTTTGTCCCCTGATGCTCTGCTATATTCTTGGATATATTTGCAGCACAAATAAATATATAGGTAGAGATAGCCTCTGTCAAACCTGTATACATTTGTTGGTGTAGTCCCATTTGCTTTCCCACCCCTATTTAGCTTGATTATCTATCTATGCATCCACTCTTAAATTTCGTTATTACTATTATTGCAGGATTATGAATGTAATATTATTCACCTTTGCTGCCTCTAACTCTTGGGCTCCTTCCTATGACTTCTGATGCCTTGATCGTTTTGTGCTGACCCCCTCCTTATTATATATTGCCTTTCTCTTCACCCAACCTAACACATGTCTACCCTCTAGTTGTCCAGGGTAAGGGATTGTCCATCCCTTACCCTCCCACCCCTGGTATGCTTCAAAGAACAATTATTGCTGTGTGCAAATCTTTTAACTTTGTACAGTAGTGGCCCTATGATTGTCCTTTTGTGATTGGCTAATTTCACTCAGCATAATGTCCTCTAGGTTCACCCATGTTATGGTGTGTTTGCAGATTCATCGTTGAACATTGTGCAGTATTCCAGTATGTGTATGTACCACAGTTTGTTTATCCATTCACACATTGATGGGCACTTAGGTTGTTTCTATCTTTTTGCTATTGTGAATAATACTATAGTGAACATGTGTGTGCGTATATCTGTTTGTGTCATGGCTTTTATTTCTCTAGGATATATACCTAGTAGTGAGATTACTGGGTCAAATGGTATTTCTATTTCCAACTTCTTAAGGAGTGCCATACCATTTTCCACAGTGGTTGTACCATTTTATAGTCCCACCAGCAGTGTATGAATGTGCCAGTCTCTCCACACCCCCATTAGCATTTTTTTTAAACTTTGCTATTAATGGTTTCCGAGGCGATATCACTATAGAAGTAGATTGCCCAACCTTCCTTCCTCAGAAACCCGAGGAGGGGTTGCTATGAGTCGGGTCCGACTCGAAGGCATATAACAACAACAACAACAACACAGGTTCTCTTTACTAGTAGGTTTTTTTTTTTTTTTTAAATAAGTAAAATTATGGGGATAATGTGTTTTGTAAATGATGAAAAGGATAACAAAAGATTGGCAATTTCATGTCTACCCAGAGGCACTTATTTAAGAATAAAAAAGAACTCAAGCTTCTGAAAGAATTCTTACAATAAGTAAACACAAACATTATATACATACAAAAAGTGTTTTATTTTCTTTCTATTAATTTCTGTGAGTCCAGGTTTTGAGGAGATAAAATGAAGTTATCTAAAATGCAGGTGCTAAACTACCATTTTAATCCTCTGCAAAGTAAAACTAGTTGCTCTTTTATCTGTGTTCCCATCATACTTTCTAAATCCTTCTACAGTATGTTGGGGTCTTGCTTAATGTAGATGAATTCAGTAATAAAAACTCAATACTGCTTCCTGTCTTACCTTACTCTCCATCCCCTCATCATACCTCTTAAAATGGTCATTGGATACAATCACGTCCAGAATAGTATTTGTTGGCTAAAGCTATGGAGCATGAGGGAATGATTTCAAACATTTTCCAGCCATTGTCAAATACATGTTCAGATGGCAAGAAAAGTGGCCATTAACATCCAGTGGAATTGTTTGAGGCTACCAAGGCACATTATCTAATTAGAGGTGGAGGAACTCAAGAAAAACATTACACAAAATCACATATGTAGAATTTTCCTTGTCAGGGAATTTAAGGGCCTTTCAGTGGCAATTTTTGGTGATTTTCATGTTACACTCACTTTAGTTCATAGCCCTGGGTTAGATGTGATCTGTCATAGCTTTCATATCATAGTATAATTATTTATTTAGGAAAATATCTCCTTCACTAGACTTTTAGTGAAGGCAGGGTCCAAGTCTTATTTATCTTTGTCTGTTCATTGATAATTACTAAATAAACTTTTAGGGAACAAATCATCTTTCAGCCATCCACATCTGAAGGTAATCAAGTGTATTTAATTGTAATTCTAATTTCCATTCTCTTGTGTTTACAGCCCCCACTGGTCCAAGCAATCTTCAGTGGAGATCCAGAGGAGATACGGATGCTCATCCACAAAACAGAAGATGTGAATGCTCTGGTAAGAGATTCTGTGCTTGAAGAGGCAGCTTTGCTTGCTCAGGCCCTTTAAACCTGAAGCAAGGGTTCATAACCCTTTCTGCACTATGGACTGCTTTGGTAGTCTGGTGAAATCTCTGGACCACTTTTCAGAGTACTGTTTTTAAATCTGTAAAATAAATATTAAGAATCAAATTTGTGAAATAGTAATGTATGGGTTCTTTATCAACACATTTAAATGATGAGATAACATGGAACATCTACAATGACAAAATAGTGATGAATATAATCAATATTTTGAATGATCTTCAACGAGCATAATGTGATTTAACTGTATCTATGATTGGAGCTCTGGTAGCATAGTGGCTAAGACACTTGCCTGCTAACCAGACGGCTGGTGGTTCAAACCCACCAGCCACTCCTCGGAAGGAAGGTTGGGCAATCCTACTTCCGTAGTGACACTGCCTCGGAAACCCAAGGAGGGGTCGCTATGAGTCAGGGCCGACTCGACGGCACACAACAACAACAACAACATGATTGCTAATGGTTACAGAGGCACAAGTATTGCTGATATTACTTTGGTTTGTTACGTGTATTCATAATTGAAGGAAATGCTAGGTTTCAACGGGAAGTTAATGAAAATAAAGATGTAATATTTTTCTTGTGGGCATCCAGACCATAGATCCCAGAACCCATGCCCTACGGCCTACGGCAGGGGTTGGCAAACTTTGGTGTATCACTTTTTTTTTTATGTATAGGCCCCTAACTACAAATGGCTATAATATTGTTAAAAATGAAAAGAAGAATAATATTTTGTGATATGTGAAAGATGAAATTCACATTTCGGTGTACTAAAGACACTAAAACTATGACAACTATAAACTTTAAAAAGTTTAAACAACTTAAAACTATAAAACTTTTTCCAGCTTCCAAGTTTTATTGGCAAACAACCATGGCAATTTTTTTTACATATTGTCTGTAGCTATTTTTGTGCTCCAACAGCAAAGTTGAGTAGTTGTGGCAGAGATCACATATGGCTTGCAAAGCCTAAAATATTTACTGTCTGGCCCATTATAGAAAAATTTGATGACCTCTGTGCTAGAGGGTTCATAAATCTGGAACCAATGGATGAATTAACATGCTATCACCCTCTGGGATCATACATAACATGTGTGTATGCCAGACATTTCATTAGATCCTTAAAAGGGTCTTTGACCCTCAAATGATTAAGAACCACTAGATCTGGAAAGTCTTGAAATAAACAAACAAAGCTACAATAAAGAAAGGTGGAAACAGATAGTTGATAATTTACTTTTTTAATAGTTTCCTAGACTATTCCTAGACCTGGATAGAACAAGCAATTACGTGCAGTGCATGCTACTTATTCTCTTAACAGAACTCAATTACCATACTGTTCAAGTCTGTCGAGGAGAGGAGTCCTCGAAGTCTCTAGTGTTAAATGGACACAACGGCCACAGTCAACCACAACTTCAGTGTAAGGAGAGCTTTGCTATGGGGAAGTGATGTCTAAGGCGGTATATGTATTTGGTTGGTTGAATGCTTTATTCAGAAAACAAGTCATTCAGTACAGCCTGTTCTACTATAGTTCAGGTTTGTGTGGCTTTTTGTAAAAGCTTTTGGCAGCTTCTTCCCAGCTGGCACTGAAAACAACGGGACAATGTGATGTGACATTTTTGTGAGGTAAGCACTGATGAGGCCAAAGACGGGCTACTCAAGAAGGCATTTAGGCATTTGTCCAGGGCCTGCAGGGCATGACCTGTACTTCTGAGAGGAGGCAAGGCAAGCATCCCACTGTCCAGTGTCTGACATCACTGGGATTTGCCCAGCCTGTTCTGTGGCTGTGGCTCAAGTCCAGGCAAGCCGAAGGCAAGGTTACTATCTTTTCCTGATGATGGCAAGCAAACAGAACTTTTATTCAGCGTCTCACACACACCAGGAAAGATTGTACTGATCTCTGAATGGCCTTTATTTCTCTTTTGGGAGAGGACAAACGGTGGTTGGCTAGTAAAGGTTAGGAGAGATTTACTTTAGCTATGTTACTGAGTTAGTTATGTAGGCTGACTATTGTAACACATTAGACCCCTAAAAGTACAATGACTCAAATATAAACCAAAAGAAAAAAAAAACCAAACACACTGCCGTCGAGTTGGATCCAACTCAGAGCCACCCCTCCTTGGGTTTCCAAGGTGGTATCACTATGGAAGTAGATTGCCCAACATTCCTTCCGAGGAGTGGCTGGTGGGTTTGAACCACCAACCTTCTGCTTAGCAGTTGAATGGCTTAGGAACAGGTTAGAGGGATGGCCTTTTTCACATAGGGTCCCCAATGTCAACATGTGGCTCCTAAGATCACCCTAGGGGTCATATCCAGTCCAACCAGAAGGGAGATAAAGAGCTTGGAGGAGAACGTGGGAGGATTTTTACAGGCCAGCTTGGCAGTGGCAAAGACCACTTCTGCTCACATTTCAGTAGAACTCAGTCACATGCCTCACCTAACTACAGGGCTGGGAAATTAGCATAGACATATGCTTCCAAAGAGTTGGAGAATGTTGATTTTGGTGAATAGTTAGTGATCTTAGATACACCAGTTTTGGGTCTTACAGAATTCTAGGTAATTCAAGTGATACCACTTACTTATCTGTGTGGTTCTTTATTCATTCAACAATTATTTACTCAATTCAGACTATGTGTTAAGTGCTAAAGATAAAGTAGTGAGAAGCAGCTGTCTCCCTCCTGGAGCTTACCACATGGCAGAGAAGACAATGAGTGAGAAATCATACTGCTATGCATTTTGAGAGGGAAAATGCAGGATGCTATGTAGGGGATCCTAGGTTAATCAGGAACCTCTCTGGATGGTGCAAATGGTTAAGCAGCTGGATACTAACCCAAAAGTTGGAAGTTCAGCTCCACCCAGAGGCTTCTTGGAAGAAAGGCTTTGTGATCTACTTCTGAAAAATCAGCCATTGAAAACCCCGTGGAGCACAGTTCTACTCTGACACACAGGGTCACCAGGAGCTGGAATTGACTCCATGGGAACTGGTATTTTTAAAATTAATTAGAAAGGCCTGGGAGGGACTTTCTGATGAAGTGATGTATAAATTGAGACCTGAGGGATAAGTTGAAATTTGCTTTGTATTTGTGGGCTGTTGGATGTGTACCAGCAGGAAAGAGCGGGGACAAAGGAGGGAGGGAACTGAATGAATAAAGGAAAGGTTGAGTAAATACACGAACAGAAAGATGGCTTGAGTTTCTTAGGTTGATCATATGGCTGTTCAGGATGCATAGGTCTCTTCCTTCCATTCACGACTTTTTAGACTCCACCTCCACATCCCTTTTGCCTCCCCTCAAGTGAGAGAGAAAATAATCTAATCACTTACTCAATTGTCAGGCATGTGGGAGACATTAAGCTGTCCTCTTAATGTCATGCTTTTCTTTTACCAGTGCTCCTTGGGACAAAATAGTCCCACAGTGTCTATTTTGCTGGGGTGAATTAGGCAGTTTTGGGGATGTGGTTGTTAACAAAGGGCATAGGGAAGTGGAAGACAAATAGTATTAAAAATCCAAGCATGGAGATGCATTTAATGAAGGAAAAGAGGCTGCTAACCAGGACATTTAAATGCCAAGGAAAGGAAATAGTGAGTGAAGGAGCTACCTGTTAGTTTGAAGACAATATTTATTTCTTCCCATCCCCCCCTTTGCTTTTCTCTCTTCACCCCAATTATTCACTTACCTTTTTTATTTTCTGTCTTAGATCCATGATTTTCTTGTCTTCCTTTTTGTTCTCCAGCTCTTCTGTGTTTGTTTAAATTCATCATATGTTTTATGGTACAAATATTTGATAACTGATCCTGATAGAGAAAGCAGTATATTCAGATTGATCTCTCTGTGTTTTCCTCAATTTTCTTTCTCATTAATAATGTTCATGAATACTGTGCTTTAACCAAACCAGATTACTTAGCCCATTGGTGTTTCTTATTCTCAACCCTTTCTCACCTCTCCATTTGCCGTAATCCTACCTACCCTTTCAGACTCCTATACTTCCATCACGGAGCTCTGGTAGCATAGTGCCAAAGGCACTTGACTGCTAACCAGAAGGCTGGCGGTTCAAACCCACTAGCCACTCCTTGGAAGGAAGGTTGGGCAATCCTACTTCCGTAGTGATACTGCCTCCGAAACCCAAGGAGGGGTCGCTATCAGTCGGGGCCGACTCGATGGCACATAACAACAACAACAACATACTTCCATCACAAAATTGTCTTAATTCTTACTTCTTCTCTGTTGACTTCCCTGCCATCCCCCTGACCCAGCCCAAGAAACCTATCTCTTCTCTAAACTCCCATAGCCCTTGATAACTCATTGATCACTTTCAATCTCTACTTAAGTCATTTATTTCTGTTTTAATTTTCCTGAGAAACTATGTGCTTGATGACATGGTCACTATATCATCCATTCTCATTCACTGAGTGCGCCTCAATCTAGTCCTTGCAACACATGTTGAGTGAAGCACAGAAACCCCACATTATTACTTAATTGGAGCCAATCTGTGGTGACCTATATTTCCTTTCTCTCAATGAGGACACGTTGTTGAACAGAGGGACTGCCCAGATTGGTTAGTGTCCCAAAGGTCTCAGTTGTATGACTGAGAAATTCTCTTTGTAAGATTGAAAAGCTTTAGATTGATTTGAGAAGCCCTGGAAGGATCAGGAGGAGTATTCTGAGTCTTTTTGTGGTTTCTATGGCTAGTGATGAGCCGGGGCCTGGAAATGTGGGATGACATTTGTACGCTCTGGGAAATCCATTTAAATTGAACCAGATGTTGCTAATAGCTAGAAATTTTTTAGAGGCCTCCATCTTTACTAGGCCAAATTAAACTCAGGGTGGAAAATAGCATCTGAATTTAAAATGAGTGCAGAGTCTGAAAATCGAAATTTGAATTTATTAAAGGTGTTTTTGGGACTATGTTATGACAACATGATACAAACAGGACAGGTTTGCTGCACTA